CACACACACACACACGTTCACAGCTACTTGTTTTACCTAGCAAAGCCATTTAGGTATCAAAATGTTCAGCTCTTCAAGGACAGTGATTTCTAAACTTCATACTTTTGAAATATTTAGCTTTATTTTGACAATCTTGCCCCACCTGAAACAGGTGAGTATAGCCGGCGAACTCAGGTGGGGTAGAGCGGAGATGGCTGGGCTCGAGGAAGATGAAGAGGAGAGATGACTGGCAGCAAGTCACTAGGGCAGAGGCAGAACGGAGAGAGTCAGAGGTGCAGATCGCTGGAGTAATGACGGGAAACCAAGGCATATAGGCAGAAGAGTGAGGAGGAGTGAACAGTCTTACTTTTTAGTAGTGTGATACTCAAAGTGTCGCTGAGCGAGCATAGCTTCTTGTATGATGAGGCCAAATAATGAGAAGGGATTCATCAACATACCGGCGATGAGGGATTGTGCGCCAGCGTCTTAAGTACTGCCGTCGGTGATAGGTAACCTGCCTCAGCTGTGTGGTACCTCAGAAGCCGCTGATGAGATGATGCACCTCAGCTGCACGCACTGCTGGAGCCAGGACTTGTAACAGAGAATCAGAAGAGAAGAAAAAGAGAGAAGGGAGAGAGGCAGGTGGCGTAGAACAAACCTGACAACCTGTACATCTGTATTCACTTCAATGCAACACTTCTGCCTTAACATTTGTGTTTATGAAACAAAATGTTTCAGTTTTTGGTGAGAATCTCATAAATGTATAAATTCTATTATATGTTCATTATTGAGATCATAGTTAAAGCTGGTGTACTGGACTACGTTGTATTCAGAGGTGTCTGTATATTTTTGTCCTGCTCATTCACATACATGAGGTGGTCAGAATATTACGATCACCTCTGAATATAATTAAGTTCAGTACAACAAGCACCTTTAACATTTTGAGCTTCATAAATACAGATGTTAAGGCTGAAGTGCACACAATTGTACAGCTGTACCTAATAAAACAAATCAAATGTTATTTGTATAGTGCCAAATCACAACAAAAGTAATCTCAGGACACTTTACAGAGTAAGGTCTAGACCTTACTGTTATCAATATTATTACAGAGGGAAAACCCAACAAATCCCCCTTGATCAAGCACCTGGCGACAGTGGGGAGGGAAAAACTCCCTTTAACGGAAGAAACCTCCGACAGGCCAGTGAGTGTACATATTCATGTTATGCAATCTTATTTTATTGTCAGCAGGAGTACTTCTATACTTACGAAGTAAAGCACAGGGCAGGATCAACATTCTGTGTCTGAGAGGAAACAATATTTTAATATCTGCTGTACATGTGTAAATATGCAATGAGTCACTGCAGTTACCATACAACGTGCCATTATTTAAAAAAAAACAACATGAAAATAAGGTAAATATATAGCTGGAAAAATTCTGCTCCCCCTCAGCACCAGTTTGCCCGTAAATATTTTTTCTTGTAACTGTCAATTAGCAAGAGCTATCATAAAAACACAAGAGTAGTCTTGATACTTTAAGAGTCAGACATTTTCGAGTAGTATCTGTTAATCATGGCCTGCACGCACATTACCTCATTACCTTATGCAGGAGTATGGCTTGTGCTGTAGCCAGCAGAAATGATGTTATGGGAGAGAGCAATAAGTTAGCTGTTTCAACTCCCATTTACCACTTATGCTGCCATGTGAATTACTCTCTAAAGTCACCTTTAGCGCTGCATTATGTTTATCCATTAAATCTTCAGTTAACATGGTACCGTTAGCTTAGCGGTCGACATTAACAACGTTGCAATGAGCTCACCACAAGTCGTTCCGTCTTTGCCATGTCAGAAGGGTTAAATTTTCATTTTCAATTTTTGAGTTACATATAAACAAGAAGCCGGTTGTATGTCTTTTAAACCACCTAAGTTGTATTTTTACCGTTAAAAAAAATTAAGTGCACTCACCCAAAAACACCGCAGACCAAAGATGGACAGACAACTCACGGTAATACGGTTCAGCTGTGTAATGGCTGCATTCAGGGGCACTTGGAAATCCCAGCATCATTGTTGCATTCAGGGGCACTCGGAAATTCCAGTTTCGGGAGTCGCAAAAGTTATATTCAGTGACTTCTATACCTGAAATGCATTACTTCAAACGCTCAACCTATCTATCATACTATTACTCAGTTGTGCATATTGAAAATAAATAATGCACATAATAATGCTCCCTTCATGAAACACTTCAGCACTTAGTTCTAAAATGTGCTTCAGTGAAACTACAACTGATGTTGCTGTCATTCTCTGAACCCTGTTTCAGATTGTGTGCTCTTTCTATGTACATTAGATTAGTGTTTCTCCACTGGTGTCACCCTGGGACCCACTTTGGCACCCACTTGTCATGTCCGTGACCCACCAGTACAGGATTTCAAATAAATTAATTAAATTATAAAGCTTTTTTTAAAACATAGTCAGTACAGACTTTGTGCCAGATTTTTCTGCCTGCATTAAGTAAATGTTACTCAAAAATAAACAAACACCACAACTGCTGCATAACACAACATAAATACAACAGTCAAATAACACAACAGGGTGCTGTATGTGTATAAAACTGAATGCAGAACTGCAAACATGATAAGACTTTATAGTCTCTTTTCACTTAACATGTAAGCAAGATTTTATTTTACAGTGAACTAATGAGATAGCTGTAGTTGTCCTTTAGTTTTGACAAGACTTTCAATGTCTGGGCTGATAGTAGACAGAGCTACTCTCAGATCATGTTCAGTGTCCAACCTGTT